GCAGGGAGGGTCGACCCTCTGACCCCAGTATTGTTCAACGGTCAACTGTAACGTTAACTAAGATCGATTCATATCTGAGCGAGAACAGTTTCTTTTCTCAGAGCCTTGTGTTCCAAGAGGCTGAAGTCTGGCTGGAGGACACGGGTGACTGTGGACAAGGAGATGGGACACTGCCCCCTCCTCGGCCCCCACCTCCAGCCGTTTTGTGCTCTTATTGACGATTCTCCGCTGATTGATGATTCTCCTCTGCCTCCGCCCTCTGACTGCCAGCGCCTTGAGGTCTTATTAATTACTCCATTCTTTGTGGGTTGCCCAGGGCCAGGCACACAGCAGGTGCTCAATAAATGCATGCAAAACGAATCATTGGACCAGCATCCATGAGACAATCTACCCTTGTTCTATTTGATCATGTTAACAGGAAGGGAGAATTACAGACGGTCTGTCTGGACACACAGTCTGGCCATTGTGGTGTCCGCCTCCCAGCCTTACAGGCTCACAGCACGGCACACGCTCATCTCACCCGTGACCTTATTTGCAGCACGGAGCTGACACCCATCCCGGGGAGTAAATCGGAGGTCAGAGACATGCAGCCCCATCCGGTGGGGAGCCAGGCTCCCCCTCCAAGGGCAGGCGGGCTTGGTGGGTGGGGCGGCACTGGCGCTCCGCTGGGACGGAGAGGGGACATCCTTGACCACCCGCCCAATGTGTTCCGGGGTCTGACAGCAGTGGAGCTGTGTGACGGAAGCCTTCCTCGTTAGGAACTACTCTGGATCAGCCAAGAAGCCGAGAGCAGAGGCGCTGCTTCCCTTCTAGCCCAGCGTGGTCTCTCTAACCAGCGGCCCACGGGGCGGGGAGAAGACACAGGAGTTCACTGAAATAAGAGGCAGCCCGCAAGATGCTGACTCACCAACCCACGGGACGTGCTTTAACGGCGACTGGCACCCCAGGTGTGCATAAACAGCTCCTTCCCCCGCCGAGCCCAGTCTGCCGTATTGGCTGGAAATAGCCTCTTAAAAGGTCCAGCTAAGGTGATGAGGCTTCGGGGATCCTTTCTCAGTGACCGATTGGAGTAAATAAAAAGATCAAAGCTGAGCGCATCACCTGGCGGCCAGGCCAGGCCAGGCGTCCTCCTCTCCAGCAGCTGCAGGCAGAGCGGAGTCTGGCAGCCGCGAAGGGGTTCACGTCCCCACCCGGTGGTCTCCTCTGCCTCACACACGTCACTTTGGATGAACGCCTTTTGCATCGCGCTGCTGCAGGATCAGGCTCTTAAGAGACTCCGTTGATGGACAATCGAACACAGATGTTCGTCTTTTCCGTTGACGCTGGTGCAGCCCGCCCAGCAAAGCGAGAAGGACGGCTGAAAACCCTCCAGCGGCTTTTCTTTTCTTTTCTTTTCTTTTTTAATCGTTATTCATTTCTCACCGTCAGCGCGTCTCGGGGCAGCTCTACCCCGCGAGCCTGCCGCTGGTTACTCTTGGGTATGAGTTCTCTCTTGTGGATTGATTTCGTCTTCCTCCGTGTAAAGGCCTCCGCTCAATGCCAGTGACGGAGCCGACGAGGGGTCGGGGGCCCCGGCCGGGCTCTGTGCTGCCGGCTGGGCCCCACTTGAACGCCCTCTGCCAATGTGCCCGCACCGGCTTGGGCCCTGCGGTGGATGTGGTGGTGGTGGTGGTGCGTGAAGGCAGTTTCCCTCCCACCCGAAGGGCTCTGAGGGCCCCCGCTGATTGCAGAAAACCCAGCAAATGGCAACAGAACCGTAGGGAAAATGGAAAAACATCAAACGTGCTACTTTGATGATGGATTCATTCACATCGCTTCTCAGAACTCATCTAACGTACAGGAATAGACTTTGTTTAATTTAGGAAAATATACCATTTGATCCTCAGAAATAAACATTAAATATAAACCAAATGGAAGGCTAGAACACAAGAGGCAAAAAAAAAAAGGAAAGAAAGAAAATGTGCAAAAAGAAAAGAAAAAGAGGTAAAAATCCTCGGGTCTGTGCCGAGAGGCAGCCGATGTTCAGACATTTCCTCCCCACCCCAGGGTGACAGTCAAAGGCCGTCCTCATGAAAAGAATACTGAATTAACACGGACAATGTCTCTTAGCAGGCCCTGGTTTTATATTCTGCTCCTTTATTAGAAATATAAACAGGTGATTACCTCCGTCTCTTTTTATTTGTCTTTTTGCATTTTTTTTAACAAATAATTTTTGGTAGCTTGTCTGGGTTATAGTTTGACTCACAAAATCCCCTTCCTAATTTGGCCTCGCCGCAGGCCGAACGTCTCCATCAGCTCCGTCCTCCGTTTATTCCACTGACTTGAGAAAGTCTGCCATGGCCAGCCGCTAGGAAAACCTTTGATTACAAAAACGCCCCTTCCCGGCTTCCAAACTCCCCAGCGGCCTCCAACGAGGTCCAGGCGTTCACTCCCCGTTCAGACTCACCGGGGCCTCTTCCTGCCCCGCCTGATTCTCGGAACCGAAGGAGGGCACCCGGGCGCTGGCCTCCGGCCAGAGAGGCCTACGCTTTGTCCTTGAGCTGCTCCAGGTAGTCTCTGAGCTCCCTGGGGGCACCCACGCCCGCGTCCGGGCACACCCACTTGATGTCCTCCTCGTTCCCGCTGAGGATGGAGTTGACGGTGGGGCAGCCGTTGTCGGCGGGGATGGTGGTGAAGGTGGTGAACTTCACTTTCTTCCTCTTGGAGGTGGGCGAGTGCAGGGGCTCGTGCTTCTGGTCCCCGCCCCGCGTGCCCCCGGCATCGGCCGGCCTGGGCACCCGGCTCTGCATGGGTGTTTGGGAGGCTCCGTTGAGAAGCAGGCGGTTGCCCTCCTGGAAGCCCCCCGGCCCGCGGTCTATGATGGTCGTGTGCTCGTCGGGCGGCGGGGACCCCTCGCCCACGTTCTCCAGGAGCTCGGCCTCGTTGCCCAGCCACACCCAGTCGTGCGAGTGGGTCACGGACGCCTGGCCTTCCAGGGGCACCTGCTTGTGCCTGTACTTGAGGGCGAAGGTGGCGCAGTTGACCAGGAAGACGAGGATGGCCAGGCAGAAGACCCCCAGGAGGGCGTACATACCGATCTCCAGGTCGCTGAGGCCGCGGGTCGTCTGCACCAGGTCGCCGGCCCCGGGCCCGCTGCCCGCCTCGGGCAGGTCCACCTGCGCCGGGAAGTTGGCGAAGTCGATGGGGATGTTCTGCAGCTGGCCCTCGCCCGCCCGCCCGCCGCCGTCCAGCCGGCTGTTCTTGACCACTCTGTTGTCCAGCAGCGACTTGGCCGTGGTGCTGCCTCTCCGGGTGGCCCCCTCCTCGCGCTCCGCCGAGGAGCTGCCGTGGACGTGCCCGTCCTGGCCCTTCGGCCGCCGGTCGCTGGCGTGGTTCTTGACCTCAGCCTCGTCATAGTCCCCTCCGGGGCTGGAGTCGGCGTCATTCTGGCCAAACTTGACCTTGATGCTGCCGATGCCCACGGCCAGGACGCTCTTGCGTTTGGATTTCTGGCAGGCCTCGGCGATGGTCATGTCCACCCGGACCAGAGGCCCCTGGCCTTCGCCCTCGGCCATCACCACGGGCCACCGGGGCGAGCGGGACTGGGGGACGGACACCACGGCCTCGTCCAGGGAGGTGGCCGTCAGGGTGAAGTCCTTGGTGTCGTAGATGTCCAGGGGCGTCACCGAGCCGTCGCTGAACCGGAGCCACGTGCTGACCACGGCCTCCTGTGGGGAGAAGGTGCAGTTAGAAATCCACGGGGGAGGCAGGAGGGAGGAGGTGCCCCTTCTCTTAGGAGCCTGTCCCCTGTTCCCTCCTAGAACAGAACCCAAAGATTCAAGGGCAGGACTCAAAATCCAGACCTGGTGGCCGATGAATCTGGGAGAAAACTCACTCAGGTTCTAGGTCAAGACCCGAAAATCACCTTAACTGTAGTGAGAACACGTATATCCAGGCAACGCCAGCTCCAACCTAATCCTCCCCAGGGGACAAGACCCCATAAAAATCCCTGAGTGAGCGGAGGCTCCCCTGGATGTCCTAACGAAGACGTCACCGGAGCGTGTGCACGGAGACCCATACTCCCTCTTCCAAGATCCTAGCGGCGACACCGAGTTCAGCCTGCCGCATCCTCTGCTAACCCGCGGTGCTCCCTCCAGCCCAGGAGCCTTAATCACGTCTGCAAAGTCCCTTTGGACATGTGAGGTGATGTCTCCACAGGGTCTAGGAATGCGGCGCGGCCGTCTCTGGTGCCCCTTTATCCCACCGGCCACGGCGACGGTGGCGGCTAAGATGCGCCCGGTGCTTCCTGAGTTCCAGCCACTGCCCTAGGTGGTCTCCACTAGCAGCTCATTTACTCTCCACACCCACGTGCAAGGTGCACACTCGTTCTGCAGGGGGGTAGCCTGGCTCAGGGAGGAGCCCAGAAGCTCCCCCAAGGTCGAGCCCTCCACACACCGAGGGCTGAGATACAAAACATCGCTGACGTGTGTCTTGGTCGATTTTGCCCCTTGAGTTAATACTTCACAAACTCTAGATGGAGAACGGACGGAACACGAAACAAGCCCCCCGGGGGCAGACAACCCGAAGAAGGTCCCCCGGCGCCGTGGGCCGGTGGGCGTCCGTCCGCCCAGCCGCGCCGTGTGACTGACACGGAGCCCTTCCCCTCGCTCGGCGCAGCGAGGCTGGAGCACAGGGTTTTCTCCGGGGAAGCCAGCGATCTCCCCAGAGATGAGAAATACTTAACACAACAGCACGTCTGGGGTGTTTCAGAGCTCTGTTCTCTCAAGGGTCCTGTCTGCAGATTGAATGAACTCCACCCATAAACTCCCCCCGAGGCAGTGCCGGGCCCTGCCATCCCCACCCGCCGATGAAGACAGACGGGTGGTGCTGGGTGGGGACTGGTGGCCTTGCCCCGCGCCGGGGAGGTGGCGAGGCGGGTCCCCAAATTAATTGCCCGTTCTCAGCAAACGGCTTCCTGCTTCCTGCTGTGTCCCCCCACTTTTCTCTTGCCCCGAGGAGGGGTGAGCAGAGGAGCCAGCGCTGAGCGCTGGGTGTAGCGGGGACGCACTCCAGGTCTCTGCTACTGATGCTCTGGGACAAAGCCAGGTAGCAAGCGCAGAATTCCTAGAGCCGTCCACCCTGATCCTTGGAACCTGGGAGCACGAGCGAGCCCTCCCGTGGTTATGTGTTATGTTACGTGCACACACAGCTGACCTGCAGTTTGGGAGGTCTGCCGGGGTGACCTGCTGTGGTCCTGGGACCCTTTGGAAGAAGAGAAGCTTCTCTGGCTGGTGGCAGAGGCAACGTCACAGGCTGAAAGCGTGACAAGGATGCCACGTATCGCGGCTGGTTCCGAAGATGATGGCGGGTGCGGGGAGTGAGAAGGGGGCTGAGAGAGGCTCCCGGCCAGCAGCTGGCGGGGACGCGGACCCCTCGGCCTTCAACTGCACAGAGCTGGATTCCGCCAACCACGCGAGGGAGCGTGGAAGCCGATTCCTCCCCTGAGCATCCCGAGGACAGCCTGGTCGGCTGATGCTCCGGAGGCCAACTGAGCGCACCTCGGCCCCCCGACCCCACAGAGCCGCGGGTGAATTCCAGATGTTGTTTTAAGCTGCTGGGTTTGTGACAATTAGTTATGTGGATGATTTACCCACCTTGTGCTCTGGGGACCATTCGTCCAGCTCAGCACAAACCCCACTGCTGGGACCACGTGGCCACGTGGGTTTTACACAGCTTGCACCGCTCTGCTTTGGAACGTGGGTACCCTGCCCCTGTCCCTCCCACCTCCGGCCCTTCTTGCTGAATCAGGCACAGCAACCCGCCTTCCTCCCCTCGAAACTCCAGCATCTGGGCCCCTACCTGTCTGGGGGCCCGCAGCAGCTCCTCCGCGGTGGCCACTGCCGTGACGGCCTTGCTGTTCTCCGCGCCGGGGTGGAGGGTGACGGAAAGCCCGGCCACGAGCTGGACGGCCAGGTCTGTCACCGATACCCTGTCATCCAGCACAGTCACCGTCTTCTCGGCCAGGATGGAGTCAGACAGCGGGGACAACACCTGCAGAGTTGGCAGGACGCGAGATGGATCAGTCACACCTGCTTCCAGGTGTTGGGACCTTCCCTGGCAATGCTTGCTCCACCCCAAACAGGGTCCAGAGCACAGCGTGAAGGAGCCATACACCCACTTCACCACGTACACCAGCCCGCACGGCGCCCTTGTGAGACTCAGAGAAACTCCCCTCTCCCCCAGGACACGTTAGCTCTCTCTTTCTTGGAAAATTAAAGATTCAAACCCATGCTGTCTTTGAAAGGAAATGACCCTCCACATTTAGCTGAGCACCCTTGTCTAGTGCACAACCTGGTTAACTGTACGCGGCAGTCCTGTTCACGGGACGCGTGAGGGTTTGCACGCAGACTGACTTTGTGCAGCCCGAGTCACATTCTGAGTGAATTACGGAACCGGCTGAGGGGAACTGAATTATCAACAGCCTGCTCTCCGCTCCGGCCCCCAGCACAACGGATCCTCTGCCAACGCTACTCTCCGCCTCATCTCAGAAACCAGACGTTGGCTGCGAGGTGTCCAGGTGAGATGGTAAAGTGTATCAGTCATCGTTGTGTAAGGACCCAGGAGGACACTCCCAAAGGTGGAGTCAGTATGGTGGGACTGCACGGGCTGAATAAAAGGCCCCTCCAAGCCTTGTTGTCTGTCCGAAATTCCTACCGTCCTACACGTTCCCTTGAGAAAAAGAGGCAGTAGGATTTTGAAGGGGGCCGGCTGAGTGGATACAGGGCAGGATGACAGACGGACCTCAGGAAGGAAGGGAGGGAAGGGAGAAGGGGTGCATTTTCCTGGGCCACTGGCGGGAGCAGCGCCGAGAGCAGGGAGGGTTCTTCCTGGGAGGGTGGAGGCGGCGCTGAGCCGTGTGCACCGGGAGTGGAGGTTCGGAGGCAGGATGGGGCGGGTGGGGGTGCTGGGAACAGCGGAAGCAGCAGCTGGGGGAGAAGGGGGTCATTTGGGGTGCTGAGGGCTGCAGCCACCACCTTCCCAATCTATCTGGAGGGAGGCTGGGGCTCAGAGGGCGAGTCCACGTTCACATCCCGGTGTCCCCAGATGCCATCACAAGGACAAGGAACTGGCCCCGAGGACCCGCCCGTCTCGCCAGCCCCCACCCCAGTGCCGGGCACCGCGCTCGGTGACGGGTGGGCGGGGGTTCCCGGCTCCGGCCTCCTACCTGGATGGTCGTCATCCCAACCTCCCGCCCGATCAGGATCCTGCTGTCCTGGAGCGTGGCCACGTGGGGCTCCGCCAGCGTCATGAAGTCCGCGACCAGGTGGGTGATGTCGAACTGCCAGTCAGGACTGAGCAGGTGGCTCGGCTGGCCCCACGGGCCGGCGCCCTCAGACACGAACTGGGTGAGGACCCGCACGGTGGCATGCTGGTACTGGAGGGCACAGCCCCGGCCCCGCTGCTCCCCCTCGTCTTCGTCCTCGCTGTCCCGCGCGGGCCTGGTGGGAAAGAGGGGGTTCTCAGACCAGGGGATGGACTCCCAGATACTGCCCAGTCACAAGGCGGTGCCCCACCTCAGCCTCCGAGAGGCAGCACACCAGACTCAGGGCCACACGGGGGTTCCTGCTCTACCACCGAGAAGCACGAGAGCTAAACACCCCCCTCTTGAAGACAAAAGGTGTAAAAGCTAACATTTCCAAAGTCCTCACCGTCCACTGAGTTGCTGAGAACCACATGTGGCTATTTCCAATTTAATTTAAGTAGAAAAAAGTCAATAAATCAGAACGTTAAAGGTCTCCGTCGCACAGCTACACCCCAACGGCTCCCTAACCACGTGTGCGAGTGGCGACCATGTTGGACACCGTGGTTCTAGAACATTCCACCACTGCAGAAAGTTCTATTGGACAGAGCTGTACAATGCTTGTGAGGTGCCCCACTCTGCACTCTGTGGGGATGCACCCTTTTAATCTCATAACACCGTGAGGCAAAGCTGTAATTCTTCTCATGTCCAGACGAGGAAACTGAGGCAGAGGGGTTGGGGAGTTTGCCCAAACTCTCAAAGCTACAAAGCAGCGGAACTTGGATTTGAAGCCGTTCAGTGCCAGGTCTGCCCTCCTCAGGGACATGGAAAAAACCCATATCCTGGCCACTAAGTGGTCTATAAAGCATTGGCTGGATTCATGGGGGTTTTCCCCATTGCGGCCAAATTCCTTAACGTTCACCCTGTAGAAATGGCTTCACTGCTTCACCGTCCCATTTATTCTTCTGGAGGTGGACTCTAGTCACCCCTTAAACATCGAGCCCCTGGTGCCTGGGGGACGGTCAGGAAAATCGTCCTGATGGTTTAAGATGGAGGCGTCCGGGCAGGAAGCCGGGAACTTGGCAGCAGCTCTTATTTAACTAAACTGGGGGCCGCAGAGCTGGGAAAATCAGACCCCAAGCTCCTATGTGTGACAATCCGGAGTCACAGAGTAAATTAGAGCCTTTTTTTTGTTTTTGGTTTAAGAGCAAAAAGCAACCCCATGGTCCAGTATAAATGCAATTACATTTAATCCAATAATTTAATCTGCACAGAGATTTTCAAGCTTACAGAGATTCATCCAGCACAGAAAAAGGAATCTCTGTTTTGCTTACAGAAAATAAACAAACTCAGCTCCCTGGGGCGGGGCGGGGGGGAGCTAGACCACCATGTTACCGCCACGACTTCGCGGCGGGGGAAACCCTTTCAGGAGACAGCCTTCTAGAAGCCCAGGGGAGGGCGCAAAGGACTGGGCCCGATGCCGACCTGGCCACCCCGCAGGCTTCCTGCCTGGCCGGGTTATCCTGACCCTTGGTTTCCGCAGAGAGGGGCTGTCAGGCTGCCAGCACGTACACGCTGCACCCTGCCATGGTCCTGGTGACAGCAGCACCTGCTAGGTGCCGGCCCGGCACTGGCTCCTTGAGTGTCAAGGTCAGATTCCACAGCCGTCACTTTCGTGGCTCTGATGGCTCACCTCTTACTGGCCACGATGGGGACCCTCCAGCCTTTAATCTGGCTCAGCTCTGTGTCCGAGACCTCAATCTGCAGGGGCAGTCTGGGCACCCACACGGTGACGTGCAGGGGGGCGCTCAGGTGCTGGTACGTGAAGTTCACCGCCACGCCCACCCTGCCTTTCATCTCCTTGCCGTTGACAAAGACGTAGTCACAGCGGTCGGACACCTGTCAAGACAGAGAGAGGACGGAGGAGACGTTCACGAGGCCCCTGTGACTGCCTGTCTGCCATTCGCCCTTTTTTGGGTGCAAAGCCTGCACGCTTAGCGTAGGTTCCCATTGCAGAGCCTGAGACAAGGATTTGGCGCGGTTGGTTTACCTGGGAGGTGACCTGGGGGAGCAGGGACCCAGGAGCAGCCTGAGGGAGTCAGGGGAACAGGCAAACGCAGCAGAAAGGCACATTGTTTCCTTTTGCTGCTGTGACTACTGGGCTCCACTTTTCTGGGGCCTCATGAAAAGCCTACAGAATTGTCCACCTGCCGGATAAGAGGCAGAAGTATCACCGACCCGCTCCTCTCCTGCCTCTCGCTGGGTGAGGCCTGCCCTGCGTGTGAACTCCCCGCATTTCCAGGCGGAGGCACGGGCCCTGGATAGACAGCAGAAGCAGCCTGAGGTGGGGCTGGTGCGGGTTCACCAAGCGAACTTGAGCCTGCACCTGGAGCTGGGCCTGAGCCGTGGGCGGACCCAGGGAACGCGACGTGGGCGTCAGAGGGGTCTGTCCTGCAGGAAATGAGCCACACGCAGGCCCCACCCCGTCCAGCCTCCCACAGTCTGTGCCGCCTTCCTCTCCATCATGGCCCTCCCGGTTCCTACCAGCTCGGCTCCAATCGCACGCAGCCCCAGTGGTTCTCTTCCACACCCAGGCCTTTGCACATGTGGTTCCCTTTTCCTGGAAACATCTTCCCTCCCTGTTTGCCTGATCTGGCCAGGCAACTCCGCAACCCCTTAGAGCTGTGTATGCATTTGCACTGTTACCGTTCATCCTGTGAATGGCAGCCCTGCACTGGTGATGACCAACCTGTGTTTCCTTCCCGTCTTCCTCCCTTCACTTTTCCTAGTTCTAGCAGAGCGTGGCCTCGGGAAAGGGACAAGACAGAGCACAAAGCAAAACAAAACACAAAGACGAAGAAAATAAAAACAAAAGTCTAGATTTCGTGTTCCAAAGTCTAAGCCCTTAGGGATATGAATCTGTTCACAGCTTCATGGACATTGTCATGCAGCACAGAACAGCTGGAGGGTGCCTGGGCAGGCACGGCGGGCGCGGGGGGTGGGGAACCACATCAGAGGCGACCCACGTGGACTCCGACTGATAATAGGTGCCCCCTAGGAGCTGTGAACAGAAACTTGAAGACTAGAAGCCCCTGCCCCAACCACCTTGACAGCAGTTAAGTCTCCTAGAAATTAGACTGGGATCCTGTTCTGCCACCATAATGAGCTGCAAACTGAAAGAGAAATCAAGTTGGATTCTAGAGAAACAACATGACCCATCTTGCATAGTCAAGTTTAAGGGATGTAATTTACACTGGCCCCATGTGTCCACCATCAGCCACGAAACTGTGAAACCCTTGAAGGCAACGAGTACATCTTTTTCTTCTCGGATCTCCTGTTTCCTCATACCAGCTGCTCACGAAGCAGGAGCTCGGCAGAGTGGATACTGGATGGAAGGAGGGATGGGGGGAGGAGGGAGGGATGGGGGGAGGGAGGGAGGGAGGGAGGGAAGGAGGGATGGAGGGAGGGAGGGATGGGAGGGATGGAGGGATGGATGAACTGAATGGATGGATAGATGGAGGAGGGATGGAGGGATGGAGTGGAACGTGGAGTGGATGGATGGATGATGAATGGATGGATGGGTAGTGGATGGGTGGTAGATGAACAGATGCATGAATGAATGGATACATGAATGAATGGATGGATGGATGCATGCATGGATGGATAGATGATTGGATGGATGGGTGAGTGGATGGGTGGGTAGATGAATGAATGGGTGCATGAGTGAATGGATGAATTGAATGGATGGATGGGTAAATGAGTGGATGGAATAGATGGATGGGTGGATGGTTGGATGGACAGAGCCCTTTCTTCATGGGAATTCTTGCTTCAAGACAACCAAACAAAGATCTTGGGGTGAGAGGAGGTATGAGAGACTGAGATAAGATGGAGCCAAGAGCAGTGGAGACAAAAGAAGTTAATTTAAAAACTTCCAGAAAGCTCTACAGCAGTGTTTCCTAACCTTTTAGGGGTCACCAACTCCGTTGAGAATACACAGAAAGTGAAGTCTTGCTGTAGAAATGCAAATACATTCAATTCCGTGTCACATTTCAGAGTTAATGAAGTCACACCTGTGCTCTTCCCACAGCACTTTCCATACGAAGCTGTAATAGCCAGTTTGCGTATCTGTCTCCTGTCCAGGCTGCACACGCCGGAAGGAGCGGCATCTCCTTCAGGGGGTCCACGGCCCTGGTTAAATAGCATCTGATGCTGAGCAGTGAACTCCTGCGATCGCCCTCTCTTCCCCCAGCTTCCAGAAACTGCGGATGGCTTCTCTGGGCCCAATTTCCATCTTCCATGCACACTTCTGTTCGGAGGGGCAGCTGGCGAGGGCTGGGCTGAGACAATTCCCTCCATCTGCTGGGGACAGTGGCAGGGAGCAGTGGGGAGGGGGAGACATGGATGCGTCCCCTCGCTTATGGTCAAGAGTGGTTTAAAAAGGTTTACATACTGATTAAAGGTGGAAACCAATTTTAGTCGCCGTCCCAGACTTGTCATTAGCATGTAAACACTGTCCTGGATCTGGGCCGGCAACAGCATAATAGCCCAGCCAGAGTCATAGCAGCGATCGCTTCTTTAATCAATGTTGTAATTTACAGACCATTGACTTTCCTCATTTATTACCTTTCTGAGCTCTGGTGGGAGGGAACCTGGCCGCTCCAGAATATATAAATAATTAAGAGGAACACCGAGGGTAGGAAGCCGCGGTGCATGATAGAGTCATTGTCACTGTTATTCCAGAAGGTGCCATAAATGTCTGGGAAGTCTCAGGATGCATTAATCATCTCCTAAGTGGCCGGCGGTGGGAACCACGGCATCACAAAATGAGCCGGCTCGTCTGCAAGCCGGGAACCGAAAACTCTCCCGGAATCTTTCCAGTCTGTGGGCTTCATTTCTGGGAATCTTTCTCTTTTTCTTTTTCTTTTCTTTTTTTTTCTTTTTCCCTCTCTCCTAGTGGGTGGGTTGCCCATGGAGAAAGCTGCCCGTTGGCTCCTGCTCACTCTGACATTTAAATTATCCCCTCTGAACGCCTGGTGACCACTGAATCAGCCACGGATGTCCGGTCTCAAGAATCTGGATGGGGGGGCGCCATGTGGATTCTGGTTGAACGGCACAGGGTCAGATGATGTCTTCTGTTGTCACTCAGGCCTTGGCAACTTCCTGAGGACGTCACTTCCCTCCCAGAGCAGAAGCAGGGGACCACTTTCTCCGGGGAAAGCGGAAGCATAAGCTGGTCAACCATTGACATCCAATGCGACTTTTGTTGGAGCCCCTTAGCCCAAGACATGGGCTCTCAAACTTGAGCGAGCATCAGGGAGGGCTTGTCAAGGGTTCCCAGGCTGTTGGGCTCGCCCCTCAAGTCCCAGATTGAGCAGGTCTGGGGTGGGCCCCCCACCATGTGCACGTCTAACAGGTTCTTGGATGCTGACGCTCCAGTCCGGGGACCACGATGGGAGACTCGCTCCTTGAAATAATGCAGCTGCCCCTTCTTCTGTGTCTCCATAGCATCTTATAAATCCTGTCTTAGTCCACGGGGGCTGCCGTCACAGAATACTAGAGACGGGAAGGCTGACGCAGCAGACTTTCATTTCTCACGGTTCCCGAGGCTGGGAAGTCCAAGACCAAGGTGCCAGCAGGTCCAGGGTCTGGTGAGAGCCCCTCCCTGGCTCACGGATGGCGTCAGCGCCTACCTGTGTCCTCACTTGGTGGAAGGCGCGAGGGAGCTCTCTGGAGCCTCTTACAAGAGCGTTAATTCATTCCTGAAAGCTCGGCCCTCACGACCTCATCACCCCGCTCCAAACCCCACCTCCTAACACCGCCACACTGGGGTTCAGAATCTCGGTGCAGGAATTAGGGGGGCACCCAGACAGTCAGTCCATATACATTCCCTTCATTATTGTGGTCTTTTAGCTCAAATGCTTTATTTTTAATTAATTAACTTTTTGTTGTTTTCAGGGAGGGAGAGGTAATTAGGTTTATTTATTTATTTACTTCATGGAGGCACTGGGGATTGAACCCAGGACCTCGCGCACGCTAAGCACGCACTCTTATCGCTGAGCCATGCCCTGCCCCCTGCTCTGATGCTTTAAATACCATCTCTGTGCTGATGACTCCCCAGGTCCCACCTCCGGATAGCAAAGTGCTTACTCAGCATCTCTACTTGGCCCTCTAATTAGCATGGCAAACTTCATGTGCTCAGAGGTCAGAATCTGGGTATGGGTTTGGCCTCTCAGGAGACCGAGGGTTGCAAAGAGAAATTCAGTTCAGACACAGAAAAAATGATTTCCATTTCCTTGCACACCTGAGTTTGTGTGCCTGCTCTGTTAACACAGAATATCGAATGCCCTTACGCCACCCCGGTGCCTTGTTTTGTATCTGCAGCGTGCCTTCCTCATCTTTCTCACCCTCGGTCCTTTCTAGAGCTCTGGATGGCAATCATGATCTCATTTTCGGATGAGAAAACTGAGGCACACTGAGGCTGCCGCCTGCCCAAGGTGGGGAAGAGGGGTGAGGACTAGAACAGGTTTCTGGCAGCCGGTGCAGGGTCTGAGCAGATTGTTTCAGTCGTGGTGTCTTAGCAGGTAGTAGTGTGAGACTGTGACCTGGGAAGTCGTCCTTCCTGCCACGTGAGCCTTAGGGTCATGGTCACGCCCAGTCCTGTCGGCAGTGGGGGCCCTGAGAGAGGGGCACGGACCGACTCAGACCCTTTGCTCCAGCTGCCCTGCCCTCCGTCTCCTGGTCCGTCCCCAGTGAGCCCCCCCGGAGGGGCGGGAGCACACCGAGTCTGGGCACGGAGCCGAGGGTATGCTCGACCCGAGACCTGAGGAGGGCTTCCCAGAGGGGCGCTTTACAAAGGCGTGGGTAGGGCTCAAGGGAACCAGCAAGACACGGCAACGCAC